GTGAGAGACACCGGTGTATAAGCTAAAGCCGGAGGCAGCGTAACAACATCAAAGATTGAGCGAGTTGCGGCGGGAGAAAATTGCTGCTCCACCTCGCTGTGGCGGGATGACATCAGAGGCGTGGGTGGCGGAGGGGTGTCGGGGCCTGGAGGGAAAGGCGTTGGTGAGGGAGGGCAGGACAAGAGGGGGAAGGAATCGGGCCGGCCGGAGAAGGTTAGCTCCTATCATTAACAAGCCTGACGTCATGGCCTAACATGGGAAATGGCCCCGGAGAAGGTTTGGATGTAAGCGGGGAAAGTTTAGGAATAAATTTGCATGGACTTATGCGGTTCGACTGAACTTTGGGATTGAGATGTGAACTCGAGTTTTAGGGTGTGACTCAGCAGCTGAGGGAAATGTGATTTTTAATCCACCGCTCCTGGAATATTTCCACACTCGACGCCGTTTTTTTGAAGCCGGCGTGACTCCTGTCAAACAATAAAACGACATGACATTGTTCGGTAATCCAAGAAAGCCTTCAGGATGAGCGCCTTTAAATTCATACAATCCAGAAAAACATGGCTTCCTGTTTGATGAAAACTCATCTGTCCTCAGCCTTTTATTCACTAGACTGTACCCCTCAACTGCCAGGACAAATATAACATCCACTCGCTGCAAATGTAATTTACCAACCCGCTCTTGTTATTGCCTTTTTCTTTTTTTTCTCTCTCCAGTCGATACTCTCCTGATTCTGGGGATTCTGAAAGAGGAAAAACGTCAGGACGAGCAGGCTGAAGCACTTCTGAAAATGAGCTGTACAATGGATATCTTGTCAGCGTTGTATTATGTTCCTTATGATGATGACACACGACTTGTCTGCTGGATGAGAATAGGCACTCAAGATTTTTACATTTATATGAATGTATTGACTAAGTGCTGCGGCCCTGCAGCAATGTTGACAAAGTGGGTAACTGATTGGAGCAGATGGGTCACACTGGGTTGGGGAGGTTTGTGGGGCTAATACGCCACCTAGTGGTGTAACAGTGTTTTCGATGGCTCGGTGAGGCTCATTCTAGATAATTAAAGTACTGATGTTGAACATAATTTTGAGGTAATTGTTGTTTACCTGTAAGGAGATAAAATAAACTACATTTGATGTAACATTTTATGCTGCATTATGCTTCCTTAATGTTATATTTACCAGCACAGTGTCACATTTATCTGACAGCTGTTTGAAGTAATTCTACAAATTATGTTTTAGATAGGTGTCTCGGTGGTTAGCACTGTTGCCTCATAGCAAGAAGGTCGCTGGTTCATGTCCCGGTGAGGACACCCGGGATCTTTCTGCGTGGAGTCTCCATGTTCTCCCCGTGCAGCGTGGGTTCTCTCCGGGTTCTCCGGCTTCCTCCCACAGTCCAGAAACATGCTGAGGTTAATTGGTGATTGTAAATTGTCCGTAGGTGTGAATGTGAGTGTGCTTGGTTGTCTGTCTCTAAGTGTAGCCCTGTGATAGACTGGTTACCTGTCCAGGTGAACCTGCCTTCACCCCGAGTCAGCTGGGATAGACTCCAGCCCCCCGCTACCTTAAGCGGTGTGTAGATAGATAATGGATGGATGTTTTAGTTTTTAAATAGACTGTTTCTGATGACATCCACCCAACAATTAGCTCAACATGAAGCAAACGCACCGATAAAATGCTGCTTAAACATCAGTAAAATTCATTTAAATTGCATTTAATACCAATAAAGTTTGACTTTTCATACTTAAATACATTTTCCTGATTCTAATTTTGTAATTAATGAGTATTTAAGAATTGGGATTCTGAAAGTGAGATTTTCATTTCTTCAGTGAGTCACTAAGTCACAGGCTTTATACCAAAATACCACCAGGTCACCATTCAACAGCAAACCAGTCACAACTAATGAAATGCTTCTGGAACTGACTAATAAAACACCCAAGCATTTGTCTTACTGCATGTGTGCATGTTAAGAAGCTTTATTAAATTCAGCAGCAAAAATAAAAAAAGTGGAACGTAATGGCGCCATACACAGAAAAGAAGACACGTGTCACTTTCAGAGTACCACAGTCAGTTTTAATAAAGAGTAAAAAGACCCATGTCAACGTGTCAAACCCTTACTGTTATAAAAAGGAGAGCTACTATTAAAACCTGTGACTAATGACTTAGTCGTAGTGGGTGCTGTGGCAGAAACCAGCCCAACGTGTATTTTCATTGAAAAGATTTATTATACACAAAATATTTCCCAGGAATGAATAATCCAGCATTTTATTTCAAGCTTCAACATTCCCCTTCCTTGGAGGCATTCAGAAAATTATGAAATTTTACAATTCCACGGTATTATGGAATGTAGGAATAAAGTGGCTACGTGCCGCACAACTTCCCATGAAGCGTGTATCCATGACAGACATACGCAAGAAAACAATTAGGTGTGTTAGAAACAGACGAGCTCTGATCAAGGTGTTATGTACAGTATTACATGTGTCTGCCGCTCACTTTGTGCTCAGGAATGTCAAGTACTATGTTTAGAATATGAGGAACTGTAAGACACGATGAGCAGCATTAAAGTGCACCCTCTCCAAAAGTGGAAAACGACCAGAAAAAACGAGGGGAGTACGACCATCTGCCAACTCTGCGTCCCTACCCAATCACCCTCCTCTCCATCTGTCCATCTGTCAACCCGGGCGCCTGTAGCAGGCCTCCTTGTAGGAAGTAGCGCTGACAATGCTGAACATGTCTTTTCTAACAAAAGACAGGAAGTTTTTCAGAGGGCAGAGTGGCTGGCTGGCGTGGCCGTCGTGGGAGCGACAGAAGGCGGTGTGAAATGTTACGTCCTCGCCGTTGTACAGCACTCTGATGAACAGCTCCCCGTCTTTCACCTTGGACTTCTCACCTTTTCCAGCTCTTTTTTTTGCCTGCCCTTGTGTCGCTGAGGGACTCTTCCACAGTTCAAAGACTATTCTTGCGGCGAACCGAGGGAACCTGGCCTCTTCCAGTCCCAGGGCGCTTAGCAGTGGGGCCACAGTGACGTCGTGGGCTGAAGCGAGGGTGAAGACCTCCTCGCCTCCCGCCCGAGGCTGTCGGCCCGCCTCGCTGGCCTTGGCGACTCGCTCCATCTTGGTGGCAGTTCGATTGAGGTATGGGTACATGGCCAGGATGGCGTATTTACGGTACAGCCCCGCCCTTCTCCGGTCCACCTCGTCGTCCAGCTGCTGCCGACGAATTACGGCAAACTGCGCCATCGTCAGACATCCACCGGCGCCAGAGTCCCCCATAGGAGCACATGGGAAAGAAAGGTCGTGGCACAGGTGGCACAGCAGCGAGTCTATGGGGTTTGCCGCTCGAAGCTGGCGGGTGAGAACACCCAAAGTGCGCGCCATATCGACATAAGTCCTCTCCAGTTCGGTGTCGGCCACTCGGAGCCGGTACTGCCTCCTCTGCTCCTCCTCCAGGTATCGGTTCCGGGCGGGACAGTCGCAGGCTGAGCCGCAGAACAGCGTGCTCCACTGGTGGCGCACAGTCAGCCTCGTCCAATCAAAGTCCGTCAGGAAGCCGTAGAGGAAGGCCAGTCCGCTCTGGAGGGTGCGGCTCTTACCTGTGGTCTCCACCCACACCTGGCGGGGTGACCAATCAGAGGGGAGGAGGTTGTGGCGTTTGTAGGCGTGGCGAAGTAGCTGCCCGTTGCGAAGGTGCTGCACCACACCTGGAACAAGGACAGAAACTAGAAGGTTTGACTCATGCCTGACTACAGTGAACACCACCCAGAACAAAAGGCTTCTGCTGAATGAAATAACACATTTACTTGACAAATACTTCTTGGGACAGAAACAGCTGGCATGAACTAAGCGGGTAGAAATGATCATGCATCATTCAGATTACATGAAACACGCGTGGCCTCGTACCCGTCTGTGTGAGCTCTCCCATCTCACAGGCACTGTGGTTGGGCAGACGGGGAACAGAGCCCAGTGGTGACTCCCAGTGGCCACGACTCCCTTGGCCCATGTGACCGATGAAGGCGTTGAGCAGAGGGTGGGAAGGCTTCCTGAGGATGGAGAAGGAAGAGGCAGACGTGAGCCAGGGCCGTACATTGTTCTCAGATGGCCACGTCTAAGTTTAAACTCATGGCTGCTCATTTACACGATCCTGAACTGTTCTTTAAATGGACGGTTCCAGTTAAACGATATCTGTTTGACACCACAGTGTAAGCAGAATGATCTCATTGTAGTAGTACAGCAAATCACATCACACAGGGACATATACTGAAGCATCTGAAGCATCTTTAACACTGACACTAGAGAAGCTGCTGTCAGAACACAGTCTGAGAGGCAGCATGAGACTTTTTCTGAGCCTTGAAACCTGCGTGTTCTTGTATCTGCTCTTTGCTCAGTCAGATTTTAAGCACATAATAGCACATAATGGTAACAGCGATTTTGGAGGAGTAAAAACTAACCAACACAATTAATTTATGAATATCTTAATATTTTAAAGTCCTGTCCTCATGTTAATGGAAATTTGAATGAAAAGCACAGGTGTGAATAATCAGATGAACAAATCAAATGATTGATTGATGGCTTTCATGTCGTTGTTCCAGTTCTGATACAGGGCATGCCAGCTCACCATCAGCCTGTCGCGGCTATCTGGAGCTTCGTTCACTTCACTAACTGTAACTTGAAGCTAAAGACCACTGATTGGACAAAACAGGCACGTTTAAAATATTGTCATTGATCCCAGGGGTTTGGGGCATTTAACAGGAACTACCACTGATTGTGGTATATACACATTCCCTATTAGTCCATCTCTGGTCGATTAAACCCCTCAAACCTCTACATTATATTATTATTACCTTACAGACCATATACCACATCACATGTACGTTTTTCTCATGAAAAGGTGCCTCATATTGGCTTGGATGTAACTCCATTGCCATCTTCAGAATGCATGAATCCATGAAGTCCCACCCTGCAAGTTGACAGCACTGGTTCCTACATATGAAACCCCTGAAGTTTAAATCTGTGTGTTTGAATCACTGGTAATCTACAATTTCAAGGCAGAAATGCTAAGTCATGGTGTTGACTTCCTTCGTTGTTGTTGTTGTTGTTGTTTATGGTGCGTTATGGATTGATACGAAAAGTGTTTTTTTTTTCTCTCTTGAACCAAAACCAGGTCACAGCTCGACCTGCTCATCAGGTAGATCTGCTGCACCTGTGAAGGGCAGCTCAGCTGTGGGCTGTTGGTAATCGGCCCGGCCTCAAGACTATATGAAGAGAGGGTTTGACTCTGGTCTCAGAGGGGGAGTTTGGCTCAGAGGGTTCAGCACCATCAGCTGGAGTTCTCTGGGGAGCGTCTGAATGTGGGAAACAAGTTATTCTTTGTTTTTTCCTCAAACAACTCCTTTTACAAAACTAGTGAATTCCACATAAGATATGCTTTGGGTCGTAACTTTTAGTTCTATCCTTCTGATGGATTCAGTGGGGAGAAGTTTGGACAGATCTCACCTTTTAGAAAACAGAAACCCATTTTGAGCGTGTAGTGTTTGTTAGTTTCCCCGTTTACGACCTTAGAGACCTTGTTGTGTTCTTGGGGGAGGAAGTGTAACAGACATATGAAGAAACACAATATGGACGTGTAAACAAGTTTGAAAAATTGATTTTCAGACGAGCGTGTTTACAGTGATTTCATTAAAACATAAAAAAAAAAAAAAGTAATTCAACTAGTTTTCTTTACATGAACTAAATAAAAGTTGTGCTTTGAGCCTTGGCAAAAACAAAACAACTGGTGAAGCAGAAACAGTAAGTTGATTTACCAATTAGTCAATCTACAGACACTTTGCAGGAATTTCAGTAATCAAATTTAACTACATTTCATGTAACATATATTAATCAGCTTAACATAACCGTTAAATTAAATGTCTTTCGGTTTATGAGTTGTTGATACTGCAAGACAAGAATTGCGCTCTAGAGAACCGTCGCTGTCATTTACTTTTTGTTTTTTAAATTCAATTAATCAAAACACTTTTCAATTAATCAATAATAAAAATAAAATCATCAGTTGTAGTCCTAAATAAAGCCCATCATATGATCTTGTCAGTATAGACAGTCAGATCCTCCGTGTGGCTGCCACTCCCTCCATCCACCACCAGGTGTCTCTCTAACCCAACGCTGCTCCTCAGCAGCACTGCTCAATATGTGTGGGAGGGAATATGGGAGATGGAGATATAAAAAGATGAAAGAATTTGTTGCCTTGGGACACACACACACACACACACACACACATGAGCACTAGCATACGCTTGCGCACACACACACACACACACACAAGCACACGGAGATGAGGGCAGCAAAAGGCAGCAGTCGGTGATCTAGTAGATTAGAGATGATTGAAGATTACAGTTTAATATAACAAATCTGTGGGAGCTGCAGCTCAGCTCGCCCAGATTAAACAGGGGCGCGCGCACACACACACACACACACACACACACTGTTTCCATAGTGATCATAGAGTGGTTGAGGAAAAGCCGTAAAAAACGACCTGCTGTCATTACCTTAAATCAGGCTCGTGATCGTTGTAAGCGACCAGTAAAAACCTAATCTGGCATCTGCAGCCACCGGCGACGCTGGAGGATGATCACATGGCCACCGAGGACAGCTTCCTCGTTCTCGTCAAAATAAAAACTTCAAAGCGCTCACCCTCATTTTCTATTTTTAAAGGCATTCGCTTCCTTTTGCTGTCACACTGCATCAGCGGCTGTTGTCGTCCAACCACTGGCCTCCATGGATGTGATACATGCAGCGCAGGACGAACAAGGGAGACAGTGTGCCCAGCAGTACTCCATTCTGCTCTGTCATCAGCAGATCAGTTTGCTGTGGGGAGTTTGGGACGATTTAGATTTAATTGGCTGCACTGGGAGACTGGATGTCAGCGGATGGGGACACCAGTGTGGACAAAGAGCCAGCCAGGCTGTCTATTAGGCTGATTGTTGCTCACCAAAGATTACAGAGCCCAATTACATTAAGCAGGCACTATTATCACTGGATAGGACGGGGGGGAAAAAGATTAGTGAGGAGGGAAGGGAGGAAGGGATGGAGAGACGATGAAAAAGAGGTAGAATGACTGAGGAGGAGGGGAAAGAGACGGCGTGGACGGGACGGGGAGGAGAAATGAAAGTGCACGGGAGGACCGATGAAGGAAAACACTGAGAGAGACGGTGCTGCTAGAAGAGGATGTAGGAGAGAGGAGATGTTGCCTGCTGAAAGAAAAGAGCTCAGTTAACCGCAGACGGAGACAGTGGGTCGGCAAGCTGGTGCCAGGGTGCGCGCACACACACACACACACACACACACACACACACACACACACACGAGTCATGTTTCCATGACTTCAGAGGACATCACATTGACTCCTATTCATTCTTAATGGTGACTACTACTCGTCTTACCTAAAATGTAACGAGCTACATCAGGCAGACTCGTTTTTTTTTGTGTGCATAAGGAAGACGCAACCCACTACGTGTACAGATTTAGATCCACACACACACACACACAGAAACGACTGAGCTCTCTGTAGGATCCAGCCCTGGGCATATGCTACTTCAGATCCCTGTAATTACACTGCGGTCTGAATGAAAACAGAAGCAGCAACATTACTAACATGACAAACAGAAACATGAAATGGGCTCCACATGCAACACAGGCGCAGTCAAACCACAAACACACTTTGCCGTTCCAGTGCGATGGCTCAGTTGTCGCCACCTTTTTGGAGCTCCCACCATATTGTTCGATTAGCATTTTCTGTGCAAATAAACTCTACGAAGTGTTGCAGCCAAACAAGAGTAAGATCAGAGATGTTCTTGAAGAATCGTGTTCTGGAAAATTCCTTCACGCTAAACATGGTGGTTGTATGACACATGTTCTGTCCCTCCTTATTCTAAAAGTCAAACCAACAAACATCACAGTGTCCTTCAGATAGGACCTGGTGGTGTTAAAACTACTGCCCTGATATCACCAAGATGGCTGCCGAGTGGCAAAACTTGGGGACTTTGTTAAGAGTTTGCGGCCATGTTAACGGTTCTGTCAGGCTGTGCTTGAGCTAAATGCTAATTCCAGTAAGTACAGTTCCACCCACCTGTTTCTTTACACAGACTGTATAGCATAAAGATGGATGACAGCTCACCAGCAGAGAAGCCCAAAAAGCTCAGACATGGTGCTGCCATGTGTGCAGCAGTGACAGGAAGCACAAGAGCCAATTAATAACCAACCAGTTACTGATCTGGTGTACAGTGAGCATCCATGACGTCATAAGCGTGCAGTAGCTGGGCCGTGTGGCGTGGGCTCACATCTGGGCCGGACAGCAGGCGACGCCTCTACACTACAGTCTCGTCACCAGCACGAGGAGGCAGCACCCACTTGCAGCTTCCTTTTTGTGTAGCTGGAGGACGTGGTGATGCATCATCCATCTTTATACGAAATCTAAATGAAGGCTTTCCCCTGCATTTTTTTTTGAATTGCAAATTTAAAAACCTGAACGCCGCATAACTCTTGTAGCGTGGAGAAAACTGATTAGACCTACTACCTATCCATCTTTATCTACCTCTAAATATTTGCACAACCATAGTGGATGAAATCATTTGTTTCCTTTTGCAGACTGGAAATTAAAATAAAACTCACGCTGCATTTAAATGGTATTCTTACTAATGTCAACGCTGGCTTCACTCTGAAAACAACACGTTGACCTGATGGTGGTGCTCGAGGAAAAAGAGGCTGAATTCTACAGCAATGCATGAGAAAGTTGTGGAACTACTTCAATCGGGCACCGAGAGGTCAAACTGAGAGCCTAACACTGAATATAGACTTGCTGAGACATAAACAACCTGTGGAGCTGTAGGGGCGAACGATAACACGACAGTAAACATTTTAACTGCTCCTTAAAGATGCTGAACTTTGCAGAATATTTTATTTCAAAGTGAGGCTTCATGTGCCTTTAAGGAATTGATTTTTTTCCTTATCAAACCAAAGTAGGCACCATGCGGTAGCCTTCCACCACAGGAGCCTTTAAATAAGCGTATAAATAACCGTACCTTTATCTGTGAAGTCAGCATGTGTTGACAACCTGCACATTCTCTGCCTATCGGGTAATGCTTTGCACATGCTGCCCTCTATCATAGTCTTTGGCAGCGTGATGAGACGCTATCTTGAAGTCATGAAGAGAGGAGCGTTCTGTACACGACTGCCCTCTAAAACGCTGTTACGTAACCGTGCAGCCTGATCAGTAACCAGAAGAGTCCACAGTAGGTCTGTGAGGCTGCATGTAGGTCCACTGCTAAGAACACAACACAAAAACAATGCTTTGTTTTCTGTGTCTGTAGGCGCGTCAGCTGGAACGCCATTCATTCCTATCTAACTCTCTGTGATCTCCATTGTGTTTGCAAGTCCTTCTTTTTTTTCCAAGCTGGAATTTCTTTGAACAAGTAAACTTTTGTGACGATATTCAGAGAAACCACACCAGTAAGTTGAGGAAAACTCAAACTGGTTATCAAGTTATTTAGCTGCTTGACGATGCTGAAAGTCAAACTGCATAAAGGTATAACAAAAAAAGTTCTTCTAGTTTAGCACATGACAGCTGTGTAACGTACAGGCATGAAGGTTCATATGTCTTGTGATGAAATATTTAGCGGTCCGGCGCTACACCTGACACGACACCCTCCTCTTATGTCTCACGGTGCATTATTGGTCCTGTTTGTGCAATAACAGTGCTGCAGCATATTATGTAAAATTGGCCTCACACGTGAGTTTCTATCCAAACGTAAATAAATGCATCTTCCTGCGTTGAACTCTAGAGGGCAAAGTCTGTAAACAGACACCAAACAAAGCTGTTTGGAAATGAAGTGCAATGTTTACAACGTGTTACAAGTGTCGTAGAATTAAACACAAAGTACGGTTGAAGTTGATGGAAAGGTCGTCAAAAAATGACAAAACAAAGGAACAGCATGAGAAAGCTGAGACCGAACGCTGTGACTAATGGACAGACCAACATTAGCACTCATGAGCTGCACTGCTGCCACGGCTCAATAAAATAAACAGCCGAATAATATCAGAATCAAAAAATGATTTCATTTAAAATAAAAAATTAAAAATCTAATCGTTTATCAAGACAAGACGCAGAAAAAATGTCCCTGAATGATGAAGTTGGGGTTGGTCGTCTGCTTTGTTTCCTTCTTAGAAATCAGAATGTTGAATGGATGCTTCGACACGTGATACCGAAATTTTCAGATTCAGAAAACTTTATTTGTCCTCAGGGAGCAATTAAAAAGGCACGAAGAGCAGGCAACAATGATGTACAGATAAGGAACATAAATTAAACAAATAGGGATAAATATATATACAAATGTAGGACAAGTAGGATAATAAGAATAAAAGAAAAGAGAGAAAAAACAAACAAATAAAATAAATTAACTCAGTGACATACTATTTTACTAAATGTTATGTTTCACTACTGAGCTACGACTACTTTAGCTACAAATGACAACAGAAGGACCTGTTGTGTGAAGAGAAAGGCTTGTTCCACGGCACATTACTGCTTGTTTCGTTTCAGTTTCTCACATATACACAAACTAATGAATTAGAAGAGCCCTGTGGACTGCATGACCTCCTTTCAGCTGATAATCAAAGGTATGGAAAATATCTAACATTCAAATGTACATTGCATATCAGCTGCAACCTACTAATCTGAAAGGCAACAGTTGCGTGCACAGTGCCAGTTAAAAGGATTAGTGTGTCCTGTGCTCTGTCCAGATGTGCAAAGCTGATGTGGCAGCAGTCATTGGCTTAATCTGAACCCAGGTACACAGGCCAAAAACAGGGATTTATCAACCATATGATCAAAATAAATCATCCAGGAGGATGTGGGTGCACACATCACAAACCATCTGACCAAACTACAGTTTCTGCATTTAGAAATAAAGCGGTTGTTGTCATAGGACACGTGTGTGTATCCACCCATGCAGCGTTTGCATACACTCCAGCAGATGTAAACACACAGAAGCTGGATGTCAAAGTGCTGATTTAAGACTTCTTCTGAGGCTCGCGTACAGAGCCGAGCTGGCTTTTGATCACTTCCTATCAGGAACTCTCATCTAGCCTCCTTGAACGAGCAGCAGAGCCTGTGTGAGCACAGACACTTTAAAGGGAAGACTGGGGGGAAGCGATACAGCGGAGAGAGAGCTGAGCATAATGAATGAAGATAATATTAATTTGAGTGTGTGTGTATTTTCCACCCGCATGTCTGTGGGGAGTTTCAGCAATGGCAGCCTCACCAGAGCTGCTCACTGAGGATGTTGCTCAAATCAAGCGAGATAAAACTGTCGAGAACTCTGCCACAACAGACCACACACACGTGTTAATGTGTTTGTGATTATGAGCGCGTATCCATCTGCACCGCAGCACAGTGGAGCAGATGTAGAAACCAAACCCGCCCGCCATCACTGACAAACACAATGAGTCTGGCAGCGATTGTTCAAGTGCATCTTCTACAATATTCAGAGTCTGAAGCTGATTTACAAAATGTGAATTAATTGCTGCAGGGCTTCATGGACATTACAGAAAAGGGGCCATTTTCTCTTTAACATATTGAGCTCTATTTCTGACAGCTGCTACCTCGCCAGAAGTTCTCTTTCAGGGGAATATCAAAGGCTGTTTGAGTAAATGGTGTCTAACTCGCTCCCACTTCCTTCCTGTTAAGCAGCACCAGAGGTGGCTGAGCTCCTGCCTGGGAGAGAGAGTCGCCGCTTGGGAAACCAGCTGGTGGCATTTTATGCCCTTTACTCTGACCTGGTTTAATTAAAACCATGCATAAATCTGCAGACTCCAGAAACGAATGAAACAGTTTTGTTAAGCTGTTAATTTTCTCTCTTTCTTGCACATCAGTCAGCAGGTTCTTGTGCTGCATAATTCTGCTTTTTATGCGTCATTTGTGTTGCATGTTTTCTTATCCATGCTGTTTCTACATGAGACGACAGACTAAACATGAGTTGTCTTTAGATTCGGTGAAATTCACTAATAAATACACCTCAGCCTTCTATAGCGCCATACGGGGGGACTTTACATATATACACGTGTAAAATGCTGTATGTTGTACTTCTAGGATATTTTTCACAGGAAACATTTGTGTACCTGCTGGTGGAGAGGGTGCAGTCGATGGAGGGTCGCTTGGTTTTGGGAATGGAGTAAAGTGGGTAACGGTCGCCGTGGCGAATCATCACCTGGACAGACAGCAGCTTGTAGTCAGCAGGACTGTGACCTGTCGGAGAAGACGCATCAGCATTTACTCCAATTCAACAAGGGACTTATTATGACTTCTAGTGACTTTTATTTACATCAACAATCAGTTTACTAAGTCTAATGTATGAGAGGTCAGACAAAGATATAAATATACAGAGATGTATCACCTGACTGCAGTTTCCCTCATCTGTGCAGAGCTTTGTACCATCTTTCAGCCAACTTGTTTTGGTTATACGGTCCAAAATTTTGCTGTTTAGGTTCTCTTTGCTCTCAACAATGGGAAGATATTCCCACTGATGAAGCAACTGTTCACTACCGGAGCACAAGCCGAGCTTCCTGCAGACAGTTTTTGTCGACCACAGGTATCTCCAGCTCCGGTCCTGGTGAGCTACTGTCCTGCAGGTTTTAGATGTTGCTGCAACACACCTGACTGAAATTAATGGATCTCCAACAGCTTGTCGTCAAGTTCTACACAAGTCTGTTAATGAGCCGTTAACTTGTTAAAACGTCTAAAACCTGCAGGACAGTAGCTCACGAGGACCGGAGTTGGAGATCCCTGGTCTACCATACGTTAGTGGAAAACAAAAATACAGCAAAAAAGTGAGTGACTGTTAGCCTGGCATTCATCAGGTGGATACAAACATGATACCAAGTGAATGCTGATGTTTGTAAAACTAAAAACAAAGCAAATGCTAGCTAACAAATTAGCTGCATTAACTTAGAAGGTGACTGCATGTCAGTGTTCTGGCCCAAGACTATCAATTGATGCAAGTTTTAAAATACACCAAATGTTTTCAAGGGTATATTCTGCTTGCAGCTGTAAAAAAAGAACCTCATTAAAACTGGGGGGGAAAAAAAAGAGTGCTCTGCTCAGGAAATTAACCGAGGATGGGAAAGTTTATGCACATCACACCTTATGAAAGCAAATGTTTAATTAACGAATCTTGCAGCCGCAGCACAAGATGCATCAAGCTAATTTGTATACCGCGAGCTTGTGTGTCTTTAAAAGTCAATATAGAAGATGGGAGAAACGGGAAAATGAGCAAGCCCCGAGGAGAATAACACCACTTATAGAAAAGAAATAAATAAATACTTGTTTGTGATTGATTTTCAATAAATTCTAATTTTAATCTCAAAGACCAAATGGATTTTTTTTTTTTCCTTTGGTGACAAAGCTGCCACCCAGAGATAAACAGAGTAAAGTTCAATTAGCGGCTGCTTGTATAACTTGTCTCGAGCGGTGAAGGATATTTGTATTGTCGCCTCAGGCTGAAAACGGGGCGACACGCCGCTGTGCTGTAGAGAGGGAACCAGAGCACTGCAGCATTATGAATGATGCAATCTAGTGGAAATGACTTTCCCAAAATTAACACATCCCCTGAGCTCCGACACACTAAAGTTGACATTATTAAGTATTTATACGCTGTCCATCAAATCTGCTTCTGACTCTGGCAGTGGGGGAGCGGTCTCTGAAGCAGACGTAACCACCCTCGAGACAGTTTTTCATCCGCAGGCTTGTTGCAGCCTTTAGTTTAAATAGATTTTATGTGTCAGTGTGGAGGTCTCACCTTCCCAGGCCTGCTCGGTACGGTTGGGAGTGTTGCAGTAGCCATAAGCCTCGAATATGGGATTGGGCTCTTCAGTGTGAGGCACTGGGAACACCCGCTTCCTGCTCTTCCCCAGAGCCGCCCCGATGCCTCCATCTGCAGCCTGGAAGGGCTGCTCCTCCACGATGGGAGTGGTGGGGATCAGGTTCACTGTAGGAGAAGATAATGACATAAGTAGAGGTATAGCGAGAGTGAAAAAAAAGGGATAAAGAGAGCAAGAGGGGAAGCCGAGTAAACAAGGAAAGAAAACAGAGGAAAACAATTACAGCTCGTAACAGTCTGCAGCCTCGCCGTCTGCAGGCAGCCACTGATGTCTGGCTGGCTGGTACATGGTACTCCCAGTCGGACCACTTTCTCCTCTGCCTCCTCTCAAAGTGCTGTACAGCAGCAGGAAAGGTTTTACCAGCAAACAGAAGATGTGGCTTTTATGTCTTTCTTCTTCAACGGCCATGAATGAAGACCACGAGTGTCAGGACAAAATTTCACAGAAAACAATCATGTAGTTGTTGAAATATTCCGGCCTGAACCCAAATGGGTAACAGGCTCCTATTTGCATCCATGGCTACATCGGTGGCATATAAAACCTGCTTTAAGGTAATGATGTACAGTCGTCCTCAAATTTATTCCTAGGAAAAAAAACAGATGTCACTGGAGTAAGTTTAAATTGACAAAAGTAATGAGAAATAAAAATGTAATGCATACCTTGCTTTTGAGTTGTGGTTCAACAGAAATACAAAACAAAACAAGCATGATGGGACCTGTAAAGTAATATTTTGTTGAACAACCCTCTGAGCCAATCACTGCCATCAGGTGTTTCCTGTAACTCTCAGTCAGACTTCTGCACCTGTTGACAGGTATTTGGATTTCACTGCTCATCAGCAAAGGGCTTTAATTTGTCTGGGACAGTTTTGTTTTTTTAAATGATTCTTTTCAACCACAATTCAAAAGCAACGTCTTATTTCACTAAATTATAATTTAGCAATTTTTTTATTTATTATTGCTTTTTTCTAGTTATTTGAGTGGCTAATGTGAGTTTTTCCTTTTCTTTAATGGAAGGGGATGAATACATTTGAGGACGACAAAAGTCAAAACACCACCGGACTCCAGAGCGGCACCACTTTGGTCACACATGCGACCAAATCTTTTTTGCGACTAAATATTTTCACAGGTCAGGTTGGTGTACACGACATTTAGCAGGTGTCTGTGTGTCTGTCACTGGGTAGCCCAGACAGACAGATTAAAGCACTTGGATTTAAACTGGGTAAATCTGACACAAGACTCTTTTCAAAGTGCATTTTGGTGACACAGCTGTCTAAGCTGCTGTGCTGTAGTCACTGAGTGGGGACTAGAGGCTTCTCTGTGCACAGCTGCCTCTGATGCATGAGCAGCGTGTGTGGAGCATCGCTAATCTGTAGCATGCATCGATGCACCGGAGACTTTTAGAGGAAAACTGTGACACCTACCTATAGTGAGACATCTCTGGGGTATCTTTAAACCTAAAATGTTGGCTTAAGAAAACAAACCAAGTCCTCTCTCCTCCTCCTCCTCTAAACTGCGATGCAGTGTCTGCATGCACATCGATCAATCTGCACCACCAGTAAATTCTCAGGATGTGGGAAACGGAGACAGGATGAAACAGCCGACATTATGCGCTGCTTTTATTGAAAAGAGTGCAGGCAAAGCATGGCTGGGATCAGTGCTTTTGCTGAGCATTGAAATGTTTAAAAAAAAAACTGCTGTAATAGATGCGAGACCAGCAGAGCACCCCCCTCCCTGCAGCCTTTTAGTGCCAGGTAGCAGCAAACTGAAGCAGCGAGGAGTCAGAAACGATATAACGAGGAGCCCTGCACCAACTGACAAATTGCACTTGAGAAAACGAATTCCATCTCGGTTCATCTCCATATCAACAGCTCTGCACCCAAAAAGCCCCTCTCTGTTGCCCCCACGTTGCCTGGACACTGGCGACCTCTGAACCCGGAGAGGAACGGTCCAATCAGAGCAGAGGTGTTGTGGGAACCGGAAGGACCATTTACATGGATCCAACTGCGATGAAAAAGAAGCTGAACCCTCGTGCCCCCTTTCTTGGCAAGTCGGACATCCAAATCCCACTTATGTCACACACACGTCGGAAAGCCAAGCTGACCAGTGAACTGTGCAAATATTCCATCTTGCTGCAGAGAAGCAGAGAGAGGCCCACCGCCTGTCTGATCATAAAACACAAAGAGCTAATGGGTTCTCATTTCTAGAACAACCCTCCGACTTAAATCCCAGACTCTGAATGCTAGAGTACAGAGCAGTTACACCCTGTCTCTCACTCTTACTCACACATTTCCACTTCCCTCCAGCTGGGCTCAAAGTTCCTCCATTCTGTGCAAATATTTACTTATGTTTGCTTTACATGCAGTGATTTATGCGTTTTGTTTTTTTTAACGCTGCTTTTATGTATTGCCTTAATGCCTTCATGTTTTATGCAAAGCCGTTTGAATCGCCCTGCCTTGAAATGTGCTTTACAAAGTAAACTTGCTTTACAAACTTGCTCTCGGGATCATGTTTTTATTTGTTTAACTGTCACACGCATTATCTGACACGGCGCTCAACAAAGCTTGACACAACCCTGTGGGAACGACTCTGGCGTATATCGTCCTACATTGGGAGGACGTAAAATATCCTTCTGCAGCATCAGAGCGGTATTTGCACGTGCAAAACGGACTCTTACGCATCGTCTTGACTCCATTTAAATAATCGTTTGAGCCATTTGTCAGTCAGGAATGCCAAACTTTTACTGCTGCAGGCTTCGTAAATGAGAGCTTCAGCTGTTTCGTCTGCTCTACGCTCCTTAAAATGCAGCATTAATGGGCTGCTGGTTCTGGTTCTGGGACACTACGCGTTGCATTTCTCATTATTCTGACATTTTATAGGCAAAACTAATGCAAATGGAGCTGAAACAATTAGTCAAATAACTGATAATCAGTCACTATCTTAAGCAAAACTACTTCACATTTAACAGCTCCATCTGCTCAAATAGGAACACTTTCTGCTTAGTAATAGCCACTGTCCACAAACAGTGACTGGGACACACGATTGCCTTCATACGGCTTCCACAAACTTGCAAATGCTTCTGCTCAGTGTAGTACGGAGCTAAATTAGCTATTTTCGGAAAGAAATACGAGTCGAGTTTCTGGGAGAATCTCGCCATTAGCAGATGAGACAAAACGTTCAGCGTTTACTGTAAAGCGGCCGCCTCACTGAAGATCTAAAGGGTTCCACAGCCACATCTCGCCTCTCTCTCTCCTCAAGAGCGGAAACATCATCGTTGCATTTCATCCAAGCGCTGACACGTCTGAAGCACAAGCTGTCAAAATAATCGGGTAAAAGTACTTAATGTTCTATTTATGCTAATTAGGCTGTACGAGTAGTAGTAGTACGAGAATATCAGACAAGGTGAGAGAAAACATCAGAATTTAGCTGAAACCACAGAAACCTCGTCCACTGGGCGCAAAGATGCTGTATGTATATCTATGTATGTTGATATGATCTAGGTAGTTTTTGCATGCCGTTTTAAAAATGAGGATTTCATTGTATAAGGGCTAACCAAAGACAAGAAAGCCTCTGATCAAAAGTCCTGCAACCATCTTTGCCTCAGCTGGCACACCTAGAAATCCACAGCCAGAGAGCTTTCCAGTTAGACAAGTAGTGAAACCCATGCAGTAAGGTCTCAGTTAGATTAAAATGTTTTGAATCTGTGCATGCAGATATCTACTTAAACTCACCAGAAATGAGAAAGAAGAGAAGGTGTGCGGCGACAGTGGAGACCATTTTGACGACTGCTCGGCAGCTCGAGGTCCAGCCGCGCACACTGGAGCTCATTCATTACCATAACCTGTCCCCCTCCACACTCGGTGCCCCATACACTGCTGCCTCCCCACCTCCCGGCTACCCGTCCACACACACATACGCCTGCCTAGACTAACCAAACTTTTGGAGGCCAGCTCTCAGTCACAGTTGCCTACACAATGGGGCTTTTGTAGCTCCCTGCCCAACACTGCGGCGCACACTGTAGAGCGCCCACAGTCATCGGAGTTTCCAAACTGCATGTGGCTAAAGTAATACGCATTTATGACTTGCATTTGTCTCCAAATTCCCCTTGCAGCCTGGGAGAGCTTTTAACAAAGGTGACAACTCCGCCTGGCACTGATAAATGCGTGTGAAAGCTTTAATGCTCCACATGCATTCTTACATAGTCCAACAGGCATGCATGCCCACTCCCAAACAACCAGCTGAACTTGTTCACCATGTTAATCGTGCACCTCTGTCGTGCGAGTCCATCATTACGCACACACTGGCACAGCTTGATGCTCACCTCAGCGCACAGAGGGTGATCTGCCTCAAAAATGCAGGCAAACAAATTTGTGTCAGCTATTGCGCCGCAGTGATTAGCAGGTAAAAAGGTACTCAGAGAATGTGGCTTGGCCTGGAATTAAGAAGGTGTGGCTCCACTTGCATGACCTGTGCCATCAGCGGTGGAGTAACCAAAACCCAGGGGAAGGACGGAGCAAATATTGACACAAAGTGTGGAAATGAGTGGCTGCAGCTGCTTACCATAACAGACCTTCTTACATTCAGCCTTTGTGTGTGTGTCTGGCGCACACAATCAGGGTAACAAAAAACGGATTGTGTACTTACAAACAATCCACAGGGACACACAAGTGTATCCGGGAACAGATTAACATCCTCACATTTAATTAAGCACTAATGCTTGGTAACGCAGTGAAAGCTGAGGATGCACAGATAAGCTCCTGATTGTCCTTAATACAGATCTGAGACGTTTAATGTGGAGAATCTGCAGATGCAAGGTTCAGTTTAATTACCACTGTGCACGCAGGATTGTATAATGAAGCTACAGATGAAGTTTCTTTATGCTACTCACAAAAACACCCATTATTTAATGAATAAATAACAAAGCAGTAAAAAGAACCATTGAAATAAACTCCCAGCCTTGGAGGTCTGGTGGTACAGCAGTGGACCCTGTATTGGCTGCCGGTCACAAGCAGGCTGCACAGGCTGCGGTTGGGGTTGGATATCTTCTTTGAGCATCCTCTGGGCTTTGTGCAGACGCCTCGTCTCGCTGGTATCGCTGACACTCGGTACCA